AGTTGTGTTGGAAGAGACAAGCTATTTCACTCATGATCGGAGGCTCGTGATAGGAGGAAGCCTGTTGCAGAGACAAAGTACGGGCAGTTTTGCAACCGTGTGGTTCTCTCCTCAGCTTACTTCCTTGCATAAGATGCTCTTCAATTTTTAGTGTAACGATTTTAGAAAAAAGTATCGTCTTATAGATGGAAAAATACAGTATTTTCAACTATTACTGAACATCAATATTTCTATAAGAACAGGTATATTAATACAGGACTTTCATTCTTTCCACTAATTCACACCAAAATCTATTGATTATGCTTTTGATATAATAGTCTGAGGAGTATAGAGATAACAATGAGAGATCACATGTCAGATGTTTTTGCCTTAAGATACCTTAAGGTGTCTGCCATGGCAAAGAAGCATATTGTAGCAATGTATCATTTCAATTTGTGGGGAAGCATGAATAATTATGATCAAACTTTTGAACTTGTAAAATAGAACACCTACCCAGCAGGTGACCGTGCAAGCTTACCTCAGTTGATCTCCAAAGCTAAGTAGATCAGACCTGATTAGTATTTAGATAGATCATCTATAGGCTAAACCAGAGATTTGAAAAAATCCCAGAAGTCAATGGCAAATCATTTCCACCCCACTATAAGAAAACTGAATCGATGCAGTCACCAAGCAGTGAGCTTAACTTGCAAGAGCCTTTTCCCCCCTTTCTCTCCCCACTTTCTTCTCCAGGGTATCTTCCATGCAAGAGAGAGAGAGAGACCTTCAGCTTGTGGCAGACAGATTCTAATTAGGCCCAGTTTACTAAAACACCTATTACAGAAGTATGTAATACAGTATCTTGCAAGTCATACATTGTAAGATTACGAATCCCTGTGAAAAATTGTTATGGAGTATGCTTGTTATTACATATTACATCAGTCCTGCTGGCCAGAAAACAGAATGTTTGAAGCAAACTCTTATGTTACAGAAATAGTATCAAAATCTCTGAGATAAGGAGACTTGATATCTTCAAGAGATGTTTCTCCTCCTGTAAGAAAACACACATAATCACACATATAGCATATAACTGAACCTCTTAACACTTTATAGGATAAAACTGAACATTATATTCAGGAATGTGTTTAAATTATGAATTGTATATTACAAAATGTAAACTTTGAGGGAATCTTGGAGATTGTGTAGTCCAGCACCCTGATCAGTAGTGAAAGCTACTAAAACAGTATCCTTGGTATATGACTGCCCAGTCTTTGTTTAAATTCCTCCAGTGAAGGAGAGTCCGTCAATTTTAACCTCCACTGATTTCCAAAGGGATGTGCTTCATGGACTCCCACTGAAGTCACTGGGACTTTGAGAAAGTGTTAAATGTTCATATATTTCATATATTTCTGTAGTCTATTTTTCATTAATTAAACAATCCAAGTTTGGTGGCCAAATTGTGCATCTCCTTTTGTCCTCTCTCAAACCTGCCGAGTAGAATCTGAGATTCACCAGAACAGTCCATTTCAATACAGATTTTGAAACCACTCCTATTAATAAAAATACCCCAAAGATTTCTCAAAGACAGAAAATTGTTTTTTCTCTATTTAGTTATTCCCATTTTTTCATCTATATTCACCATGATACTGATATTGAAAGATTTTTAGGACTATTTTATATACCATGGCACCTTGGTGCATTGGCATCCTCAGGATCACAGAATTAAAATTAATTTATAAAAACAAATGGCCAAAACCTTATGGGATGTCAGTGGTCTCATCTGAAATTCTGAGGAATAATGCCAAAATCTCTCATAAGATCTTGCTTATATGTAGAAATGCACCACGGATTACTTACAATATCTTTACAGACCATCACTGACCCATAGTCCACAGGTTAGAGGCCACTGTGCTAATCTCTAACCATATCATTGTTAGAGCAGTATATGAAGAAATCAGTCACTGGCACCAGGAAGTTGAACACATCTACTTAGATTGTGTTGGGGTAAAATGGTGTTTCAATAAAACTGTATGCAGGATGGGCAGAGTTCAATATAGTTCAATACATGCTGACTAATTACTGCCTAGAAAAATCCATGGTATGGAATAGAACAGTAATAGGCACATTATAAATTTAAGAAGTAGGCTATAGAAGTCCACAAAATTCCATACATGGAAGATACCTTCCAAATGTAATATGCATGGTCAGAAAGTATCAGTTTACCAGTAGAGAAATTGCTCCCTCCCAGCACTTCTAACCCACACTAACCCACAACAGTACCCTATTATTACTTTCTTTTCTGAGCAGGTGCATATACGTTCAAACAAGTTCTCCCTTGGGAGAAGACCCAAGCATAGTAAGAGCTGTGGAGCTCTGCATTCCCCATCCTGCAATCTTCTCCAAGCAGAGGAGCTCCTTCTGTTTCTTTCTCTTACTACTGTCATAGCCAAATAAATCCCATTTTGTTGCTTGTAGCTTCCCTTGCTTCTGTGCTTTAGTATTTAGCAATTCTATCTTTCTGCAGATATTAGTTTCTTGCTGATATATCTCTTTTGTAATTATACCCATCTTCCATTTCCTATATAAATCCCTTTTACTTCAGTCAAAAGCTTTCTATGCAACCCCAATGGTTTCCTAATCTATCTCTCACTTTTTTTATTTTTCACTGGAATTGTGTAA